TGAGTTTCTTCTTGCTTGTTCGAATTCTTCTCTTCTCTCTCGCGTTCTTCTTTTTATGTATCTTTTGTATAACCTGTTTCTCTCCTCCACTGCCTTCACATACTCATCATCAAACCATATTTCGTTGGGCTTGTGTTTTTGCGTTTCTAATATTTTCTTTGCTGTTGTTACTATTATTGTCTTCATGTTTCCTCAAAATTCCTCTATTGATTGCCCATCTGCACTTTCCTGATTACCTCTGTTTCATATTTCTCCCTTATTTCTTAGTCTTTCAATTTTTCTATGTCAATCTCCTCTAAACGTTGAGCATGATTGCGCTGTTGTCTATGAATCTTACTTCTAAATTTAGCTTGCAGGAGAAAATGATCCGCATGATGCCTCTCTTATTGCTTTGATATCCAGAATACTTGTGGCCCCTCTTTTTTCTATCAGGTTCATTCTAATAGGTGATCAATCTGGCCGTTAACCCATCTGGCGAGATCCAAGTAACCTTATGTTGTAAGTAACCTTATATGCCAGTGAAGGAAGCAGTTAATGTTGAGCTAATAATCATATTTCTGCTGGCTGCGAAGTCTATTAGCATGTTTCCATTTTCATTGGATTCATCATGTATCTGTTTTCCTATTGTGTCCAGGTATTCTCCTCTTCCAATTTAGGCATTCATATCTCCCATTACGAGCTTTATATCATTTGTATATCATATTTTGGAGTATTGTCATATATTCGTTCTAGATATTGATAAAATTTCTCTTTAATATCCCTACTTTTGTCTTGTGGGTGAACGTTTATAAAGAATAAATGAAAAAATTTAGTTTTTATTCGCAGTGTACAGATCCTTTCACTCACCGTTTAGAAATCTAATATGCTATATTTTATGCTTTTGTCGACCATAAAAGCCAAATTCCCTATTTCCTTCCTTGTAGTTTCCTATTTTATAGGATCGTTGCGTTCTTGTGTCTCTGATTAACTGTCCTGGCCACCTTGTTTCGTGTATTGCCACAATTTTGATTCTATATCTATATCTCGTCTAGCAAATTTTTTTGTGTTCCGAGTTTAAGAAATGTCCTTACGTTCCAAGATCCCAATTCTAATTTCAATTCTTCGCTTAAGTCGTTTCCTATTATTCTGTCCGAGGCGTTTTTGAAGGTTTAGTAACCCAAATAAGAAGGGATATGCGTCATGGCGGGACCCGATCACGAATTAATGAAATAGTGAATTATAAAAAATAGTGAATTAGTCGTGAAAATTCGTAATTATTACTTTTGCGAAAAATATCACCTCAATCAGGAATCAAACCTGAATCTTCTATTTACCGGGTAGGCATTTTATCCTTTCGATCACAGAGACATGTGATGATATTTATCGCAATAACGTGTTTTTTAACAATATGTCAATCTAATGACATACACATATATACACATATATACACATATATACACACATATATATTAGGTGTACAAAAAAGTTCTGAGTTTCGCAGCCATTTCCGTACGTTTATATACGATGGGAAAGGTTCAGAAGGAAGGCAGATGGGTTCCGCATGAATTGTCCGAAGACAACAAAATCGTCGGCGTCACACTGCACTCACTTTGCTTTCAAAGTTCCGGAAAAGATTTTCTGCACAAAATCATTACAGGCGATGGAAAGTGGATTCTTTATGATAACCCTAAACGTAGAAAATCATGGGTTGACCCTGGTCAACCTTCGACATCGACGCCAAAGCCCAATATCCATGCCAAGAAGGTTTTGCTCTGTATCTGGTGGGATTGGAAAGGTGTGTTGTATTACGAATTGTTACAACCGGGTGAAACAATCACGGCAGACCGCTACCAACAACAATTGACCAATTTGAGCGATGCATTAGTAAAAAAGAAGCCATTTATTGGCCAAGGACGTCGTAAAGTGATCTTGCTTCATGACAATGCTCGATCACATGTTGTGAAAGCGACTCAGGACCATATCTTTGCGTTAGGCTGGGAATTTCTCCCGCACGCGGCGTATAGCCCAGACATGGCGCCTTCCGATTACTACCTATTTTGGTCGCTGCAGCATCATTTGGCTGATATACATTTCGTGAGATTTGAAGAGATACGAAAATGCATTGATGACTTTATCGCTTCGAAGCCGGTGAGTTTCTATCGTCAAGGAATTTGCAAGCTACCCGAAAGATGGCAAAAAGTCGTTGATGCAAATGGGGAATATTTCACTGATTAATATTTTTTTGTTTGTTTTTGAATAAAGATTGAATTTTACAAAAAAAGCTCAGAACTTTTTTGTACACCTAATATATTAACTAAATCGGAAAGTTCCATCCGTTTTTTTACAAAAAGTATGGTTTTATTTAAGAAACAAATAAAAAAATACATCAATCAAAATATTATTCATCGTTAGCGATGACTTTTTCTCATCTTTCGAACAGCAAGCGATTTCTGCAGCGAAAAAATGACTCATCTTTGCAAGCTATCCAGTCAGAGATCCATTTTTCGATGTCTTCATAAGAATTGAAGTTCTTCAGCAAGTGCATGTGCCATCGACCGAAACAAGTGATAGTCGGAAGGGACACAGTCTGGTAAATAAACGCATGGGATCGCACTTCCCAACGAAATGCTTATAACATTTCCTTGACAAGTTTTGTGATGTGAGGTCGAGCGTTATCATGAAGCAAAATTACTTTATGCTGTCTCGTTTCATATTCTGGTCGTTTTTCGTGCAATGCTTGACTCAAACGGATAATTTGTTCTCGGTAAAAATCCCCTGTGACCAAATTTCAACAACTCATGATACACTACATTCTTCTGATCGCATCAAATACAGAGTCATCTTTCACATTGTCTTCTTTCCATGGATATTTCGTTTTGACGTCGATGTTGAAGATTGGCCGGGGTCGCAAATTTTTCGAACGTTTGGGATTGTCAAAAATCCATATCAAAATGGGGTTGTCAAAATATATCCATTTTTCATCCCCAGTGATGATACGATGTAAAAACCCCTTTCTTTGTTGCCTAGTAAGCAGAATTTCGCAGATAGTTTTTCGCTTTTCAATGTCTCTTGGCTTCAATTCATATGGGATCTATTTTCCTTCCTTGTAGACCTTTCCAAGACTTTCAAACGATCGGAAATGACAGATTGAGCACAATTTAATGCTTCTGCAAGTTATTTTTACAATGTTTGAGTCTTCATCCACCAATGCCTGCAATTCTTCGTCTTCGAATGCTTTTAACCGTCCAAGATGCTTTTTGTCCTCCATCCAAATCATCACTTTTAAGGTATTGAAACCATTCTCTGTATGTTTTATCGAAAGGAGCACTATCACCATAAATTTCTACAAGCATTCGATGAGCTTCAATTACAGTTTTCTTCCATCTGAAACAAAAGATTAACACTTCGCACAAATAACGCTTATTTGACAAATTTCGATATTTTCGATGCAGTAAGAAATAATGTTATTGATGCGAATGTATACCTTTATATATTGAATTTTATTGACAGATGGTAAAACTAAAAATTAAGCTTGGTAGACATTAGAGTTACCGATAGTTCTAGTTGTATATATATATATATATATATATATATACTATATATATTCTCGAATCCCCACGACCAGTACTCCAGAGCGATGTTGGTCTCTCACTCGATGGATGCAGGTCGGATTGCAGCAGTGCACCCAATGTTATTGGCAAATATATAAATAATCCTCCTGGAGCCCAGCAGGAGAGATTGCATCAAGCATGACTCGAGCCTTTACTGGGTTGTTAGCCCTTAGCCAAACCCCCTTATATGGAGGACCATTTTTCCCCTTCTCGTCCGCCCTGATCCTGCTTTTCACTGGAATTAGTTATCCAATCTCCGGCAGAGTTCATCAGGTTCTCCAGGATTCACTTGCATATCCTTCTGCTACACTTCGTGGAGATTAGGATAGGAATTGAATAGAAGAGACTATGCGATGCTAACTGAAATCAGCATCGTGTATTGCGCATGCACTATTCCTTTGAATCCCCAAGCTTCGGAATGGCGCTTCGATAACGAGCCGAAACCGAAGAAACCGCGTCGAAATCATTCGAAAATCAAAGTCGAGTTGACTGTTTTCTTTGACCACCATGGTATTGGTCTACTCGGAATTCCTTCCGGAACAAATAGTCAACAAACAAGGTGTTGTAATGCATTTAAGAAAGAATATTCGCCAGAAAAAGCCAGATTTATGGAAGATTCTTGGATTTTGCACCACGATAATGCATCGTCCTACACATCGATCTTATACGCGAATTTTTATCAAAACGAATGTCATCGACCAAGCATCGTATTCGCCAGATATAGTCCCGTGTGACTTTTTTCTGTTCCCCAAACTCAAATTACAACTTCGTAGAAGACGTTTTAAGTCTATTGAAACCATAAAACAAAATTCGCAAAAGGAGCTGCAGGCTATATCGGAAAGTATTTATAAGAAGTGTTTCGACAATTATTCGTTGGCATAAGTGTATCGCATCAAATGGGATCTATTTTGAAGACGATAAAGTAAATTTGGATGATTAACCAATATTTTGTATTTTATGAACAATTTCCGGTATTTATTTGACAGAATGTACATGTATAATATAATAGATATTTGCATACAAAATATTTTCTGAGTATATATTTTTTTTAACAGCTATTTTCTTAATACAATCAATTCATTTTTTAAAATATTTTTTCTGAAAATGCTTTAATTCCAAGATAATTAGCTGTTCACTTAAAGTCATTTAAAATGAAACATCCTTCTGTGCAAGCGCGTATATATGTGTGCGTGTGAATTTATTCGTTCCTTCAGAAAAGAATTTTTCGGAAGAATATTTATAACACATTTACAACATTTCCTTTTTTTACATTATATTTTTATATGTGTTCAAAGATTTGTTATTGATTTTTATGATAAATAGCAAGACTTTGAATAAAATAAATTAAAAGAATATTAAAAAAGAAAGAAATACACAAAATAACATCAAGCAAGTTCATAATTTCTTTACCATAAAGTATCAGCTCTTCCCAGGTCGGAAGTATCTCTATATACAAACAATTTAATTGTGTTTATTAATTATTAATACATAGTAGTTCATATTTTAATTAATTTAATTTTTATTGATATTTTATAAAGAAATTATATGATTTTAAAATTATTAATAATGTGTAATAATTAATTAAATTATCTATAACAATCTGTTTTTTAATATACAAGATAGAAAATATAATTTAATCATCTCAATTATTTCTATTTTTACTGAATTAATTAAAATTATTTTTTATTTTAATATTTTTAAAAGGTTCTTAAAAGGATTTATATACAAATTGTTGTGTTTTCTTGTTTTGCAAGCTTTTTTAAATAAAGTTTTCAATATCACTTTAATTTTTTTTAATTGGAATCACATAATTTTTTTACATAATTTAATTTCTGTAATTATGCTATAAAAAATATGAAGGTAAAATTATAAAAACATTAATAGTTTATAAGATTTTTTTCTATTTTAATCTAGCATATTTTAACATAAAATATAAAATATTTTGTAAACTATTTATTTCTTGGTTATAATTCTATCTTAATACTTTTACATTCAGAATAACTAGAACAATCAAATCACGTAAAAAAGATATAATATTGTATAGCCCCTGGCTATCTTATCCTATCGAATTAGAACCATGCAAAAATTTCATTTAATTATAACACTGTCATAGACGACAAAGTGGCATCCTTGGCTGCTCAAATTATTATTAAATACATAGACGACTTATGTATACATAGTAATTGATTTGTTATTATTATGAGAATAATAGAATTCCCGTAGATGACGAACAATTGAGAGTCGACCACATTTTTATTTTAACATTTTTTTATGTTAAAGTATCGATAGCGAGTCAGAGAGAAAAACAATAATAAGCATTCTTGTCATGCAAAATTCGTAACCAAATCGTGCATTCTCCGAATCGCTCTTCGCTCTGACTCGCTATTAATATTCTAACATAACAATAACATAAAAATACGATCGAAGAAGCCCCCCTCCCTCCCCCGAAATGTCGGGACGACAATTTCGAAGAGGTGGGGGCAGATTACGACCGAGCAGTGATCCGCTTGTTATTGTTCCTCAAATATGATTTTTTCAAATTTGATTTTTCAAGAAGAAAATGGTTCTCTACCATGCGATGACAAGTTACTGTTTGACGTTCTGCGGTCGCAGAAGAGTTGCATAACAGTTGCTGGCTTTACGCTTTTCTTTGTGTTGATTGTTTATGCTTTGTGTAAATAAAAGTTCCCTCTTTTCGTAAAATGTTTTTATTCCTGCAAATGCAAACGAATGTAAGTCGTATGTGTACCCGTCACAAGCGCGACATTTGTTAAAATAAAAAAATTTATATATAAAATTTGTATATTTTATCTCAAATTTCTATCTTCAGCAATAAACATTACAATCAATAAAATGTTAAATATTAAACGTTCCTTTCACATTTGATGTGTCTTAAATGAAGTTTAAAAATTCAAATTTAATAGAATTTGTAATCGTTTATCAAAGTATATGATCACGTGGGAAAAACTAAATACTATGAAGACGGAAATAATGAAATTATAATTTAGCTATTTATAGTTTAATTAATTAAATTATGATTTATATAATTATAATTATATTTTTTTTAATGTTTATTTTAAATAATGTTTTGGATAATATTGTCGCGAGCGCCGAGAACGCAATCACCGCTGACAAAGCGGATTGCGGCAAGCGATACTTTATCCGATGAATTATTATTTTACCAAGCGATAGCGATTACCAATGCTACCGTGCTAATCGCGCAAATATTGTGTAATCGTTCCACGTGAAGCAACTGCTAACCAGGTTGCGCGGCCCTTACGCGGAAAACCGCCGCGCGACCCAGAAATATACCGCGAACGCTGACGAACATGTTGATGACACGACAAGGACCGGCCGCCTGGAACAGGATAAAAACGGAGATCGATAC